GTTCTTCCCCCTCTCTCTTTCCACTTTCCCTGGCCCCCCCCCCCCCCCCTCCCCCCAGTTATGGAAAATACAGACTGTTTACTTTTTCAAAACTTTTATTTTGTTGTTGGAAAAGAAGGAAAGAGGCGATAGGGAGGGGTAAGTGGAGGGACAGCAGTGAGGGGTGAAGCAGAAGCCCCAGTGGGTTGGACCAGGGGACAGTGTCACTGATCCCCTGGGGAGAAGCTCTCCCTCAGGGTCTCCTGGATGTGTACAGCCCCCCGATGGGCCTGCCAGATGGCAGTTGTGCGCGGCTGCTTGTAGGCCTTGCCTAAGTGGTCCTCCTCCACCCCCCGCCCTTCCAGGAAGGCCTCCCCCTTCCTCTCACACATGTGCAGGGCACAGCACGCAGCCACCACATGTGGAATGTTGTGCTCCCTGAGGTCCAGGCGGGTGAGGAAGCATCTAAAATGCACCTTCAGGAGGCTAAAGGCACCCTTGACCACTATGTGGGCCCTGCTCAGCCCGGCATTAAATGTCTGTTGTGAGGGGTTGAGGTGGCCAGCGTACGGCTCCATGAGCCACGACTGCAGGGGCTAGGCAGCGTCCCCCACCAGGCATACAAGCATGTCCATGTCCCCGACCCTGATGTGGTGGTCAGGGAAGAAAGTCCCGGCGTGCAGGTTCTGGCAGACACTAGAGTTCCTGAACACATGTGCGTGGTATGCTTTCCCCAACCACCCAACATATATGTCCGTAAACTGGTCCTGGTGGTCAGTCACAGCCTGCAGGACCACCAAAAACTATCCCTTGTGATTGATGTAGTTTGATGCCCAGTGGTCTGGAGCACAAATAGGGAAGTATCCCATCGATAGCCCTCTGCAGTTGGGGAAGCCCTAAGGTGCCAACCCCCTTGATGATGGCATCCACATTTGCCAGGCAGGTGACTCTGTGCAGCAGGGTGCTGTTGATGACCCTGACCACCTGCAGAAGGAGACAAACAAACCGAGAATCACAGGGGTTCCATGGCACCTGACACTTACCCCGTTCCCCTTTAAAGTCCCCCTCCCCCCAATCACCAGGTGCAACCCAACCCCAGGAAGGGCTTTGTGAGGGTGGGACGGAACAAACCTCCTGGTAAGAGGAGTTGCACCACCCTCACCTGCACCCCCTTTTCCCTAGGGAAGCCCATTCCGTCCTTCCACCCCTTCCTGGGAAAATAGCCCAAGAATGCCATAAGCAGGGTCCCAATAGTCAATCTCCCCATGCTGAACTGATTCCCCATGGATTAGTACCTGTCCAGCTTGGAGAGTTTCTAGAGGGCGATGGAGACATTCTTCTGGAGGGGAATGGCGGGCCTCATGTATATATCCCGTTGCCTCAGGGTAGGGGCAAGCCACTCATAGAGCTCAAGGAAGGGTCCTTCTTCATTCCTAAGTTCTAGAGCCATTGTTGGTCTCCTCAGTGCTCCAGAACAATGAGGTCCCACCAGTCTGCACTGGTGTCCAGATGCCAGATGTGGCAGGGCATGGCATCCAGGCCACGGTGGGCAGCATCGAGCTCCTGTAGCCACTCCACCACCTGAGGAGGGTCTCCCAGAAGCCCTGGGGGTTGGGCTCCTGCAGAGCCTGGGAGGCAGCCTGCAGAAAGTGCTGCATGACTTGCAGCAAAAGCTCCAAGAACTGAAGAGTGCCTGGAGGCAGCTCTGGCTCCATTGCAGAGTGCTGTGTTGTCCTGAATCGGGGCAACCAGAACAAGAAGAAAAAATGCTTTGCTGTCCCTCAGAGACGTAGGCAAGCAAGCACAGAAACCTGAGAAATGGCTGTCCGGTGGGTGGGGCCCTTTAAGCATGAGCCTCAGAAAGCCTCAAGCAGCAGCCACATGAGGTAACTACTGACGCGATGCCCTGCCTGAACTGGTTCCGGGTGGCCTTAAACTGGTTCCGGGTGGCCTTAACTGGTTCCGTGTGGTAATTCAGCATCCAATCAGTGTAGACATTCTGTTTCAAAATAGCTAAGTGCTATTTGGATACATGTTTTGCATCCAAGGGGCCGCTTATTTCAAAATCTGTTCTCCTGTTTTCCTCGAGGAATAACGCTAATTTCCAAACAGTTATTTTGAAATCGTGTTAGTGTGGACATTCTGCTCCTGCTATTTCAAAATACTTACCTCCAGAATAATTCAGACTCATTACTCCCCAGTGCTTCCTGGGGCTGTAAGTCGAGGTAGCACGACCACATTAACGGAGCCTGCCTCGGACTAATTTCAGGGCTTCTCCATTGTGAGGACATGCTATTTCAGTTTTGTTACATTGTGAGTTAAGTCAATTTAAGTAATTTTGAAATAGTTTCCTAGTGTAGACATGCCCTAAGTTGCCACAGGACCACTCGTTTTCACTGTCAGGACTGTTTCTCATGTTGAGATAATTAATCATGATTTGGAATCTAGAGCACTATTTGCAAATGGTGTAAGCTCCCCTGACCTTGGTTTGTCTATTTATAGGTCCATATGGTCTACTTTTTGCCTCTTCTCCCTCAGACTTTGTGTCACAATGTTCTATATGCTGACACACAACTCCCCCGCTCCCTAGGGGAGCTCAGGGCTTGTCTACATGGTGCACAAGTGAGGTGTAAATCATTGTTTGCACCTGTGTGTTGCACAATCACTGGCCTGTGTAGACCCTACACGCATACACTAAAGTTAGCCTGTGGGAGTTAATGTGGACCACTTGAAACTGGACTATGCTAATGCACATTAAAGAGGTATTAGTGCATGATGGCAGGGTCTGTATAGGCCAGCAACTGCATGACACACTGGTGCGGACTAGAATTAATACGCCACTGACATGCGCTGGCCTTCCTTTTAAACAACTCCTTAGAAATCAGTCGCATTTTGTGGCACCGATACAAGTATGCAATTAATCCAGGCGTTTATGGTTGTATTTCAGCCCAGTAAGCAGAGCACCGACCGAGTCTTCAACATTCAGTCACACTAAATAGGCTTTAAAGAAAATCAAACAGAGATGTGATAGCCTCCATCCCTCCACTTCTAAATACCTTTGTATCGGCAAGTGAAGAGTTTTGTTAGAACGGTGCCACGATATAGATGCAACTGGTAAAATGACTCAAAAAGGAGGTGGGGAACATGCAGATACACTCACTGAGATTTTCCTTGAGGGAGCAATGCTTACAGAAAGGCAACAAAACAAATTATCCTGAGCAGAAAATGAAAGAGAACACTGCTTGGTTACTGCCCAATCCTTTCTTAAGTCCATATGCCTAGTGCCCCACAGAATCTCTCTCTCTCCACTATTATACCCTTAACAGCTATAAAAGGGATTTGGGCAGATGGTACTTCCATGTTCACTGAGGACCAAATGGCTTCCCTTCACTCTGTTCCATAACAGGACAAACAGGATAGCTTCATATATTGGGAGGATTAGCACAGGTAGCACACTTGGGCTGTGTCTACACTGGCACCCTTTTCCGGAAAAGGGATGCAGATTAGCCAAGTCGGAATTGCAAATGCAGCTGGGATTTAAATTTTCCCTGCTGCATTTGCATGAACATGGCTGCCGCTTTTCTCCGGCTTGGGGCTTTGCCGGAAAAATGCGCCAGTCCAGACAGGGATCTTTCGGAAAATAAAGCCTTTTCCGGAAGATCCCTTATTCCTCTTAAAATCAGGAATAAGGGATCTTCCAGAAAAGGCTTTATTTTCCGAAAGATCCCTGTCTGGACTGGCGCATTTTTCCGGCAAAGCCCCAAGCCGGAGAAAAGCGGCAGCCATGTTCATGCAAATGCAGCAGGGAAAATTTAAATCCCAGCTGCATTTGCAATTCCGACTTGGCTAATCTGCATCCCTACAGCCTTGGAGTTAAGAAGAACACTTCACTGTTCCTCTTTTCTGGCGGTGGAAGAAGACAAGTGCTTTTCGCTGTAGTCTCTTGATCGGTGAGCTATCACGCAGAACTTTTAACTTTGCAAATCACGCTTTGCCTCGGAGCTTTCTCTTACATGAGTTTGTCCTCATGAAACACACTCGTACTGTCATGCCATTGAGACGTTTTGTTGCCAGACGGGGTTTCCCGATTCTTATATATGGAATAACCTATTTAAACCCCAAGGTGAAGCAACGAAACCACACTCCCTTATGCCTCAGTGTATTCCTTCTCTCCAGACAGAATTAGGTGGCATTTCATACCCCAATGATTCACAATAGATTACAAAAATTGTATCATGTTTCTACAGTCAATATTACAATCAAACTTTCCAGTTGAGGGTTTTCTTGATGGCTTCCTTCACTTCTGTGTTCCTCAGGCTGTAGATTAGGGGGTTCAGCATGGGGATGACTACTGTGTAAAACACAGAGGCCACCCTGTTGTAGTCCAATGAGTCAATGGATGAGGGGCGTAAGTATATAAACAGAGCACTTCCGTAGAACACAGTGACGGCTGTCAGGTGGGAGGTGCAGGTGGAGAAGGCCTTGTGCCTGCCCTCCATGGAGTGCATCCGCAGAACAGTGGTGAGGATGTATGAGTAGGAGATGAGGATTTGCAGGGAAGCGGGCAAGCCAATGACAAAGCTGAACGTGAAGAGCACTATCTCATTGATGCGGGTGTCAGCGCAGGAGAGTTTCAGCATCGGGTGGATGTCACAGAAGAAATGCTGGATCCTGTGGGAGTTGCAGAACGATAAACTGAAGGTGCAGCTGACTTGCACAATGGCACTCATGAAACCGGCTGCGTAGGAACCACCGACCAACCGAAGGCAAACTGCCTGGGTCATCACTGTGCTGTAAAGCAATGGGTTACATACGGCGACATAGCGGTCATACGCCATCACTGCCAAAATGATGGCCTCCGCAGTCATAAACCCTCCATAGAGAAACATTTGTGCTGCACACCCAGAGAAAGAAATGCTCTTCTCATCCAATAACAGAGTCGCCAGCAACGTGGGAGTGATGGTGGAGGTGCAGCAGAGATCTACCAGGGACAAGTTCCTGAGGAAGAAGTACATGGGGGTATGCAGTCGGGTGTCAATCCCAATGAACACCATCATTCCCAGGTTCCCCAGCAGGCTGATAGCATAAATTACCAGGAACAAGATGAAGAAGGCCACCTTTAGTTTTGGCTGATCTGTTAGCCCCAGGAGGATGAACTCCGTTGCCAGGGACTGATTTCCCCCTGCCATGCCTTGGAGAAGGTTCATCTGCCAGGGAAAAGGACAACAGCATTAAACATGGCGCAGTGCAGAGCCCAGCTGCCATTGTGAGCAGAGCCTCCATCTGTTCTCAAAGCAAAAGTCATTTCTTTCAGTTCCACCCTCCAAGGCTGTTCGTGGGAAGTGTAATTGTCTGGTAATCCCATAGGTTGGCCGGGTTATGGGATGGTGCTTTTCTCTATGGATATTTTAGTCTAGTCATCCCACTCTAAAGCAGTGCCTTGGCTGGATCATGCAGGAAAGACAAGGGAGCTCAAGATGGCCAATTTCCAAGAGATGGTAAGAAACTAGTCCAGAATTAAGAAAAGCTCCAATTATTAATCATAAAGCTTGTCAATGATGCAACAATTGGGGGAGCACAACAGAATGAATAGGACAGCTCACTGATACACCGTGACTTGGTAAGCTGGGCTCAAGAAAACATGCATTTTAATGTGGCTATACGTAAGTGTACACATCCAGGGGTACAGAACTTAGACGAATGGGGACTCTATCTTGGGAATCAGTGACTCTGGAAAAGATTTGTGCATCATGGTGGAGAATCAGTGGAACCTGAGCTCTCAGTGAGAAAATATGGCCAAAAGCACAAATGCAATCCTGGGATACATAAATGGGAATCTCAAGGAGGAGTCAAGAAGGTATTGTACCTCTAGATTTGGCACTGGTGCAACTGCTATTAGTATAACGTGTCTAGTTGGGGTGTCCACAATTCAAGAAGGCTGTTAATCATAGAATACAATCATAGAACACTAGACTGGAAGGGACCTCGAGAGGTCATCAAGTCCAATCCTCTGCCCTCACAACTGGACCAAGCATCTAGCTCATCCCTGACAGATGTTTATCCAACCTGCTCTTAAATAGCTCCAATGATGGAGATTCCACAACCTCCCTAGGCAATTTATTCCAGTGCTTAACCACACTGACAGGTAGGAAATTTTTCCTAATGTCCAACCTAAACCTCCCTTGCTGCAATTTAAGTCCTTTGCTTCTTGTCCTACCCTCAGAGATCAAGGAGAACAATTTTTCTCCTTCTTCTTCCTTGTAAGACCCTTTTAGGTACTTGAAAACTGCTATCATGCCCCTTCTCAGTCTTCTCTTTTCCAAACTAAACAAGCCCAATTCTTTCAGTCTTCCCTCAAAGGTCATGTTTTCTTCAGCTTTCATCAGTTTTGTTGCTCTTCTCTGGACCCTCTCCTATTTCTCCACATCTTTCTTGAAATGTGGTGCCAAGAACTGGACACAGTACTCCAGTAGAGGCCTAGCCAGGGTGGATTAGAATGGAAGAATGACCTCTCATGTCTTGCTCACAGTAGATTGGATAGTTGATAAATTAGAGAGGATTAAGAGAAGAGCCACGAGAATGATCAAAAGCTTAGAAAATCTGCTTTCTAGCGATAGACTCATATAGCTCAATCTATTTAACTGAACAAAGTGCAGGTTAAGGGGTGACTTGATGGCAATCTATACGTATCTGCACAGGGAACAAATATTTGATAATGGTCTCTTTAGTCTCTCAGAGAAAGACATAACATGGCCCAATGGCTAGAAATTGAAGCCAGGTAAATTTAGATAGCACATCAGGGCTATGTCTACACTGGCATGATTTTGCGCAAGAACTCTTTTGCAGAAGAGTTCTTGTGCAAAAACTCTTCCAGAAGAGAGTGTCTACACTGGCATGTGCATTTGCACAAGAGATGTGCTTTTGCGCAAGAGCATCCATGCCCAGTGTAGATGCTCTCTTGCGCACGAAAGCTCAGATGGCCATTTTAACCATAGGGCTTTCTTGCACAAGAAATTCATGTTGCCTGTCTACACTGGCCTCTTGCACAAGAACAGTTGCACAAGAGGGCTTATTCCTGAGAGGGAACATCATAGTTCTTGTGCAAGAAGCACCGATTTCATACATTAGAACATCAGTGTTCTTGTGAAGAACTCACGGCCAGTGTAGACACAGCCCAGGTGTAAATGTTTAAGTGAGGATAATTAACCATTGGAAAAACCTACCAAGGGTTGTGGCAGATTCTCCAACTCAATCCAATGACTGAAAGACATTTACATGACTGCTAGACAAATTTAGTCAGGAAATGAGGCAAATACTTTTAACAGTGCAGGCAATCAATCACTGGAAAGCTTTAATAAGTGTTGTGTGGGAGTCTCCATTACTGTCAATTTTTAAATTGATGTTGGGTTTGTTTTTTAAAAACTACCCTCTAGGAATTATTTTGGGGGAGTTCTCTGTCCTGACCTGCCCTGCCCTATAAAGGAGGCCACACGACATGATCCCAGTCATTCCTTCTGGCTGTAGCATGAACAAATCTATGGGCTCAGACAGCCCTGGCCTGATCCCCTCCCAGGCTACAGAACTGGCTTAATGAGCAGGCTGACGAAGGTCACAAATGCTTGAATAAACATCCCACAAAAGAAAGAATGCTTGTAAGCTGTGAGACAGCCATCCAAGCTTGCAATGGGAGAACAAGGACCACTCATTCTTTTTAAAGCTTCAAACTAACATGGCTTCCCTGCTGAAATTTTTTTTTTAACACACAAGGCATTGCAGTTAGCTGTATGAAGTGGAAATCCACCAACTGCATAAAGAAACACGCACAGATACAAACAAACATCATCTTCTTCTCCAGGTGCAAACAGATGAACATCATCTCTTGGTTTCTATTATTTCCACTCCAGTTCATCCAAGGAAGTGGGTTTTTCCCATGAAAGCTCATGACTCTATATATTTTGGTTAGTCTCTAAGATGCCACAGGAGCACTCGTTGATTTAAAGATACAGACTAACTCCCCTGAGAATTTTTTAAGATCCCATGGGGTTGTCTGAAGACATTAGACCTGCTTTTGACACCGTTATAGGATTATAGGTCTTTAAAATTAAATAATCTATGAAGGCTATTTGTTGTTTTATGCTCCCCATTTGAATAATGCTTTGTTTCATCTGATAAATAAAAAATGTAATTTTAAGAAGTTTGCCCAGTCTTATTGGTCATGGGCTTCCTCCAAAAGAAAACCCAGAAGCTGAAAAGAGAGACCCACAGGTGATAAGTGGTTGGTAAACAGGTGATGTAGCCAAGCCAAGTTGACATTCTACTCCAAGACAAGTAAGGGCCAGAAACTGAACACATGACATTGGTGTGCTCAGAAGCATGAAAACTGGACAGAGCTGCAGTCTGTATCAAAGACAGGGAGTCCATGAGAGTAGCTATTTAGCAGTGCAAGGTGTAGTCAGATTAATCTGGAAAATCTGAGCTCAACATCCAGTGCTCAGTGGTTAGGACTGAATAAACATAAAGTTGGGGAGTTTTGCATCAATTTCTTTTTACTAATGCCAATTTATGTTGCTTTCTTTCTACAAATTATTTTTCCTTAAGAAAGTGACATTGCTGAAAAATAAAGAAACTACAAAGGATGGCGATTAACATAAGTCTTGGTGGGAAAGCAGAGGGTGGAAAGAAGGTCGATATTACTGTGAGTAAACTTAAAAAACAACAAATGGTTTGGTAGTCTAGAAAGTGCTACCAGACCATTTGTTGTTTTTTAAGTTTATCCTGTACACACTAACTCGGTTACCCCCCGAAATTACTGTGAATGTGTGTTATCTAATGACATGACTAGTGGAGAAACAAAAGCACGTAGCTTTGGTAGAATAACATAGCCTGAGAAGGGGGGATTAGCCACTGTTTCAGAAGAAGGTAGGCTAAGGAAGGTTAAAGAGAAGATTAAAGAGAGGTGTTTTGGTTAAGATATTAGGAAAAAGGTCTGCGACTGAGCAGTGGGACCGCACTGCGTAGGGTAGAAAGAAATCTGCACATCTTAAGAGCTGAAGGAAAGAAAATTGACTCTTTAGTGACACTAAAAGAATTTTCCTGATTCCAGCTATCTATGACTCTGAACACCAAAAAATATAAGTGACTTACCAGGAAGCTGCCAGACACTTCTCAGGTATCAAAGTTCATTGGCTTCCTCATTAGCCTGTAATCGGAATTGCAGGATCATCAAGGAGATTCATGTTCAGGTATGAGTGACATGCCTTTGCTTGTCTGAATGTCTGACAATTGTCTTTCTGCCTGGAAAGACCCTGACTAGATCCTGACTGGGAGGAGATGCCTGGGTTGCTTGGCGGGTGAGCCTTTATATAGAATTTTTCACTCTTCTTTGAGAGGTCCTCATGGGAGTTCAAAATCCATGAGCTCATTTTCCTGACTTTTCTCAGAGGAATTCTATACAGATGAGTCTGAAGGTTCATAAAACTGGAAAATTAATTCAAATGATTGCATGTGCTCATTTAAATATTTGATGCCCACACCTTGCCTGGTTTTCGTATTTTACTGAAATGTTACTTTTATTTTCTGTTTCTACTGCAACACCATTCCCTCTGCTGGAACAACAGAGACGCCATGAAAATCAGAAAAAACGAGTGCATATTTTTGCTGGATCACTAGGCCCAGTTTTTTTAGGCCCTAGTGAAACTGAAACACGGGTACAAATGAGAGGTACACATACGCGTTTCTGATTTTAAAACTATGATGAGAACCCAATAGTTTCACTCCTATGAGACCCTGCCATAACAATGAAGGAGGTGGGGCAAAAGGCCCCAGACACAAGTATGGGGCTGCAAAGGGTGAGCACAGATACAGTGGAGAGGGGGAAGAACAGACTGACCCAGCTAATGTTCCCCACAGATGCTCTAGGAAAGACAAGCTCTGAAGTTCCAGGTTCATGCAGGGGAAGCCTCTGTCTCTCTCTGGGGAAAGGGGTATGTCAGACTGCCCTGGGGTCAAAGACACCGTCCCCAGCTTCTACTCCCCCCACAGCCATGGCCTCTTCCAACTCGCCTGCTGTATACAAGCTGCTCAGGGCTCTCTGCACTGACAAAGCCCCACCATCTCTGCTCTGAGGCCTTGTCACTTGAATGCGCTGCTCAGACGCTGAGAGAGACTCATGGGCTCTTAGAATTTAAAGCCAGATCACTTAGTCTGACATCACAGGCCACGGAGCCTCCCCCACCGAACCCCTATAGACCCACAACCTCTGGTTGAGTTACTGGAGTCCTCAGATCATGATTTCAAGACTTCAAGTTCCAGAGAATCCACCATTTACTGTGGTTCAGATCAGCAAATGATCTATGCCCCATGGCTTCCAAGGAAGGCCGTAGGACAAAGAAAGAGCCTGAGCTATCGGCCTAGTGTAAGGCCTGAGGCCTGAACCAAAGTGAGCAGGAGTTATACTATGAGTAACAAGCCCTGTCAAAAGCAGATATTTGCCTGCAAGTCAGTGTCTGGGACATGAACTTGGCACTAGTATTGCTAGCCCTGCAAACCCACACGGAACATGTAAATACATCCCACCAGGACAGTACAAGAACACTCTGACCTAGCACATGACAAAATGGTTTGACAAAGGTGATAAATGTCTGAATTGATGATGTTTGTCTGGAGTATCAGGAGGAAAGTACAAGGGGAGGTAACAAGAAAGTAATGAAATGCAGAAGATGATACATATAGGCTGTGTCTAGACTGGCCAGTTTTTCCAAAAAATCAGCAGCTTTTCCGGAAAAACTTGCCAGCTGTCTACACTGGCCGCTTGAATTTCCGCAAAAGCACTGGCTTCCTACTGTAAGAAATCAGTGCTTCTTGCGGAAATACTATTCTGCTCCCGTTCAGGCAAAAGTCCCTTTTGCGCAAAGCTTTTGCACAAAAGGACCAGTGTAGACAGCTCAGATTTGTTTTCCGCAAAAAAGCCCCAATTTCGAAAATGGCAATGTCAGAAAAGTGCTTTTGCGGAAAAGTGTCTGTGCCAATCTAGACACTCTGTTCCGAAAATGCTTTTAATGGAAAACTTTTCCATTAAAAGCATTTGCAGAAAATCATGCCGATCTAGACGCAGCCATGATGTCTTTCACAGATAGTCTAAGTGTAAGCCTATTGCAATATCTCATCTTAATTCTTTGTCCCGCCTAGGGGGCAGTGCAAAATCCTGCCACTGATTGAGCCGAGACCATTGTCAGGATGCATGCATGTGTGGTGGTTCAGTAGCGTCTGCTTACAGCTATAACTGTACCCCAAACCTTCACTGACGTGGTCCCTGACTGAGAAGGAGAAAGACACTCCCCACATTCCTCTCACACACCAGAGCCTAGGGGGCCTAGGCTAGTAGATTTTGTGTGCTCCTGTCTTTCAGTAGATACAGGCTCCCCAATGCTAGGAGGGGAGCTCTGAGCCTTGAGGGCTGGATCTAGGCAAGTCAGAGGCCGCATCTGGCTCCTAGGCCTGAGGGTTCCTCACCTCTGATGTAGAACATCCCTGACTGGTGCTTGTCTAACCTGCTTTTAAATATCTCCAGTGGTTGAGATTCTACAGCTTACCTAAGCAATTTATTCCAGTGCTTCATTGCCGTGACAGGTAGGAAGTTTTTCCTAATATCCAACCTAAACCTCCTGTGCTACAATTTAAGCTATCATCAGAGGCCAAGCAGAACCATTTTTCTCCCTCTTCTTTGCAACACCCATTTAGATACTTGAAAACTGCTCTCATGTCCCCTTTCAATCTTCTCTTTTCTAAACTAAACAAACCCAATTCTTTCTGTCTTTCCTCATAACTCATGTTTTCTAGACCTTTAATCATTCTTGTTGCTCTTCTCTGGATGTTCTCTAATGTGTCCATACCTTTCCTGAAATGTGGCATCCAGAACCGGACACAATACTCCAGTTGAGACCTTTCAGCACAAAGTAGAGCGGAAGAATGACTTCTCGTGTCTTGCTCACAACACTCCTGTTAATGCTTCCCAGAATTATATTTGCTTTTTTTTGCAAAAGTGTGACACTGTTGACTCATATTTAGCTTGTGGTCCACTATGACCCCTAAATCCCTTTCTGGAGTACTCTTTCCTAGACAGTCACTTCCCATTTTGTATGCATGACATTGATTGTTCTTTCCTCAGTGGAGCACTTTGCATTTTCCTTATTGAATTTCACTCTATTTACCTCAGACCATTTCTCTAGTTTGTCCAGATCGTTTTGCTTTGTGACCTTATCCTCCAAAGCACGTGCAACCCCTCCGAGCGTGGTATCATCTGCAAACTTTATAAGTGTATTCTCCATGCCATCATCTAAATCATTGATGAAAATATTGAACAAAACCAGTCCCAAAACTAATCCCCATGGAAACCCTTTTGTTATGCCCTTCCACCATGACTGTGAACTATTAATAACTACTCTCTAAGAATGGTCATCCAACCAGTTATTCACCCACCTAATAGTTGCAGCATCTAGGTTGTATTTCTCTAGTTTATTTGTATAAGAAGGTCATGCTAGACTATATCAAATGCTTTACTAACATCTAGGTATACCACATCTACCACTACCCCCTTATCTACAAGGCTCATTATCCTATCAAAGAAAGCTATTGGGTTGGTTTGACATGATTACAAATCCATGCTGACTGTAAGTTATCAAGATGTTCACAAAAATGGTGCCATGCTAGTGAGACAGGATAGAAGCTGGGAAATGAAGCAGCAGAAAATACACAGCTGCCGTCAGCAAGAATTTTCTTTGAGGAATGATTCTTGAGGCAAGGATGAAAATGACGTTATCATAAGGAGAAAAACTAAATGCGATCCCCATCTTTACGTTCTGGACAGTCCTATGATTATGGATATGGAGACTTCACTGGAGACATAAGGTGTATCATTGGGAGAAGGAGTGCTCAGAGGTGAATCCCTTGTTCTCTTGTGATCAGGTAAGAGTGTGATAGTACGTTGCAATTTAGGCGAATGTGCGTCATCTGTATGTGGTGGGAGATGTATAATTAAAGAGTAATGCTTCAATATTACTATGTAGTGGTTGTGAAACTACTTCACTATACATTTTCATCACAAACACCCTTGAATTACTTCTGCAAGCTAACAAGTAGGACTTTGTTGACAGACAATGCTTGACCTAAAAAATGTGTGTGTGTGGAGTGACAAAGGGATACCATCTTTGCTTTAAATTGTAATTGTCAATGCCTTGAGATCCCTCTGATTTTCTTTTGTTAATTCCCTATGGGTCACCACATATGGGATGAGAGACACTGAACCCACAGTCTTTAAATACATGATCACCAATAATTGAGGACACAATACGTTATAATAGCAAACCCATGTTTCTCTGTCAGCTTCAAGGCTCATGTGTAGCATCTTGAAATGTCAATTTCCTCCATTCTTTTGTGCTTTCACTAATTGGCCAAGCAGAGCAAGGCCCTCCCCGCCCAGTAAAAAATGTCTAGTACTCACAATTTAGTTATCTCTCTTGCAAGTGTAAATTAACTTGAAACTTGCTTGTAAAAACTGGCGCCACAAAACGGACCAGTAGAATTTGGCCTCTTAGATAAGAAAGAGGATACGGGCCCCCAGCGGTATATAGATGGGTCCAGCAGCACATTTTCTCTGAGTGTCAATCTACCATCTATCTGCTGGTCGGGTTAGGTGTTTGATCTCCCGAGGTTCCAGAGGGGACGCCCACCTCGTATTCGTCTTTCCTAGGAATTGAGAGACTGGCCCTGGACTGACACGCTGGAGTTGAGAGGCACAGAAAGGGGTAAAAATTGTACCTGGATGTGGTCTTTTGCTTAAGTATATATATACATAGTGTTAGAGCTCTTTAAAGATTAAGCTGTCACTTGGTACCGTTATTTCTATTTTCTATCTTTATTTTCTTTGTAACCATTTTTAAAATCTGTATTTGTTAACAGTTAAGAAAGAGAGCAATAGCCATATGCTTTTGTAAGTCTTTTAATAAACCTGTAAGGGTATGTCTACACTACCCCGCTAGTTCGAACTAGCGGGGTAATGTAGGCATACCGCACTTGCAAATGAAGCCCGGGATTTGAATTTCCCGGGCTTCATTTGCATAAGCGGGGCTCCGCCATTTTTAAAACCCCGCTGGTTCGAACCCCGTGCAGCGCGGCTACACGGGGCTCGAACTAGGTAGTTCGAACTAGGATTCCTATTCCGAACTACCGGTACACCTCGTGATGGACATTTGCAGCTGAATGGATGCCCCTCCTAGCGTAGTGCCTGGGAGCAACTGCCCTCCCACCCATCCACCCCTCGTTATGCCACTGTTCCCACAGCCAT